TATTCATCATATGTGGCCCTTTATTTATCAATTGCTGTTTGTACATTTTTCAAAAGAGAAAGAGGTTCTTTTAAGGTGTTTTTTAGTTTAGTGTCTGAGTATCTACAGTTATCAAACCCATTTGTGCATGTATTATGTCCATTTTACAGAAGGAAAGTTGAGGTATACCAATAATAAGTCCAAAAACAGTTGCTGCTTTTTGACATGCAGTTTGAGTTGCTGGTAACCTGAATTTTAAGATGCCCCTGCAGCACACTGTGGGTTTAAAGCACACATTTGCATGCCTTACATCTGTGAAAGTCAGATGCTAAACTCTAAAGAAAATTAAATGCCCTTTATTGGTATCTGGCTTGTTAAAAACTCTGGTTAAAGCAGTCAACTGGTATCTTGAAGGTTGCAGGGAGTCTAGTACACCAGGGGCTTCAATCACACTTCATATATTCCCTTTCGTTACAGAAATCTTTTAATTTCTTTGAAAAATGACAGGAGACAGCTTGCTTAAATGCAAAATTCAGATTGATCCCTAGAGCAGACCTCTTATAAGCACTAAATTAACAAAGCATTTCTAGGAAAAAAAAAAAAAGTGGTCTTGTTATCAAAAACTGCATTATTAGGTATGTTCACAATGGCAGTAGTGACTGCTGGGGTCTTTGGTTGCTCTCCATTTGCTGATTTGAACCCATAACCGGGTGGCACACCGAAGGCTGAGCTGAGCTGCTGGGTAGAGGGGAAACTTTGGCCATTTATCTGGGGCGGGGGTGGGGGTGGGAAAGAAGACTCTGCCAGGCATAGGCAAACAGGGATTTTGAAGAGATTTACAAATTATCCAGATTAGAGAGGATTTCTCTTAGAAACAGCAAAATGCACATCCTTATGTGAAGATTATGGCTTGTTAAATTTCAAGGTTCCTCTCCAGTTCCTGTTGGGGTTCAAATGTTTTTCAAATAAAAGGTTGCCAAAACTTGTCAAAACAAGGCATTTTTCTCTTAGTCTCAGTCTCCCAGATAGCTGCACCTCATTTGTTGACATTTTCCTTTCAAGAAATTGACCTGAGGCTGACACGCAACAAGCAAAAAAACATATTTTGCCAATGTTATAAGTAACTAAAATGTTGTTTTCAAAAGGGAAGTGTTGTCAGGCATTAATAAGCAGCAGCAGTAACCTGACCTGAAATAATGTCTGTAGGATGCATGAGAAAGAGAAAAGTAAATGAAAGATCATAGAATGGTTTGGTTTGGAAGGGACCGTAAAGACCATCTAGTTCCAACCCCCCTGCCATGGGCAGGGACACCTTCCACTAGACCAGGTTGCTCAAAGCCTCATCCAGCCTGGCCTTGAACAATTCCAGGGATGGGACATCCACAGCTTCTCTGGGCAACCTCTTCCAGTGCCTCACCACCCTCTTGGGAAAGAACGTTTTCCTGATATCTAATCTAAATCCCTCCACTTTCCATTTAAAAATATTACCCCATGTCCTGTCACTACAAGCCCTTGTAAAAAGTCCCCCCAACTTCCTTGCAGGCCCCTTCAGGTACTGGAAGGTGCTATAAGGTCTCCCCGGAGCCTTCTCTTCTCCAGGCTGAACAAGCCCAACTCTCTCAGCCTGTCCCCATAGCAGAGGTGCTCCAGCCCTCTGAGCATCTTCGTGGCCTTCTCTGAACTCACTAAGACAGGTCCATTTCCATCATATGCTGGGGACCCCAGAGCTGGACGTAGTACTCCAGGTGAGGTCTCAGGAAAGTGAAATAGAGAGGGAGAATCCCCTCCCTTGTCCTGCTGTACACACTTTTTCTGATGCAGCTATTTTCATGAAAGTTGAAGATGAGTCTCAGATGGTATATTAAAAGCCTATATGAAGTCCTTTAGGTGCAGGTTGACAATGAGTATTGTGTTGATGAGGGGCAGGAGGAACAAGAACAAAAATTACAGTGAGAATTTGCTGCAGAGTCCCAGAAACGAGTTTTTCAATCTCAAGGTGATGCATACCTAATTTTACCAGATTTCTTTGTCATACATTTGCTATTTTAAAGCAGAAACGAATATGAATTTGTGAATCATCAAGAATTTTTTCCAAATTATAAATAAGACATCTTCATTATCCAAAACTTACATTAACTCATCTGATAGTAACTATACTATGTAGCCATGAGGAAAAAGGGCTGAAAAAGTGGAAAGAGTAAGTGCTGAAAGATAAAAGATTTAGCTGCATGAACAAGTTAAAACAACTCTGGACAATGTACTGAAATAAACACAGAATAATGATCTTCATCACCAAAAGGGTGGCTGATATGGTCTGTTTTGTTGGAATTTTCTGTTTTCACTATGTATCTTCAAAAGTTTGGTACAAAACTCTGTGTCAAGTAGGGATCAGTTTCTCTAATAGTCCTTAGAAAAATGCCATAGGGAAAAGAATGAGGGTTTGGATATTCCTGGTTTTTACAGGCACACTGAATATTAGCAGAATTTTGGGGGTATGAAAAGCCCCAGATTTAGAAAACTTCTTGAGCACTGATTATAAAAGAAAACAAATCCAGACAAATATAGTGATGACTCTAAATGGTCAGTGGAGGTGACAAAATAATCTTCTATGTATCTTACAAAATGGTTATGAACATTCCCAGAAGCTACTAATAATCCACTGGTGGGTGAGGTGTAATGAATGTGAAACACCACAGAGAAGCCATAATAGAAAGGAAACATGATCATAGTAATTTTTGCCTGAAATCTTCAGCTGTAGAGAATGGGTTTACATTCTGTCAATCAGGTCATCTATTTCAGAATTTAGAAAATGTGAGTCTTTGTACAGAGAAAAATGAGCATGAAATGAAGTACAGAAAAAAATCAAGTAGAATAACATAACAAAAAATCATGGAGAAAAAGAATTAAATGTTGATTTGGTCCCCAGGGTCTTAGGGTAGACTTAGGAAATTGATGGTCAAGTATTAATTGACATGAATGACATACGTTAAAAGGTCATGTTTCTTTTGAAAGAATGCGATATATCACATTTTGGATCTGATTTATGGTTTTTTTGTTTGTTTGGTTGGTTTTTTTCCTTTTCTTTTTTAAAGTACCTTTTAAGGAGGGCATATTATCTTCTCTAAAACCTAACCTCATTAAATATTATTTATGTTTTTATCCGTCTTGAAGGTTATCAGTCTTAACACTGTTATAAAAGGTATATTCCTATGTGGTTCCAATTTGATTATTAGCTTTTAGCATCAGTGAAATTCCATATCACATTAGAGAGTGAAAAATACAGAAAGTCTGAATGACTAGTGCTTAAGAGATGGTTCTTAGAGCAATCTATAAGGTAATTGCTTAAATATTAAATTGTATTATTAAATGACTCATGTATATTACCTGGAAATATTGCAGCAAACGTATTTATTTGTAGTCATTTTACTCAACTGTGGAAAGTGCAGCACTGTAATAAACTCTTGCCCACTGAAATATGTTTATCGTGTCACTGAACTGGCTTACTAATGTGATTTTCTACCTTTCATAAAATGAAGGTAATGCTTGCTGCAGTTGCTGTGATATAAGACTAGAGCACGGAGCTTTGTGGTGCATCAGCACACTTTCTGTACCATGCAGTTCACTGTTGCTCCTGTTACAACTTTCTAAAACCTTTCACAAACAAGTGGACAAGTAAATTTAATGTTCTAAAACACCACGTGTAAAATAACGATTCACAGGTACTTTCCTTGTTTGCTCTGAGTCAACAGTAGCAACAGTACTCAGCTTTAACTTGACTGTGGGATTGAATCTTAGATTTTTTTTTTTTATTCTTTTTTTTGTAAAAGGTGGCTCATGATGTAGGCTACAGCAAAACAAGGATATTATGCACTTCCTCTTGTTTTTTGAACTTTACCAGCATGTATAAACATGTCACCTAGCTTTGCCTTTTTCTATAGGAGAGGGAAAACCATGAAGAGGCACCTTTATTGGACAGTTCATCCCACAAACATGAGACATTTTAAGATAAGAATAATTACCTCCTAGAGGTCCCTGCTTCTTTTTACTGGTTAGAGAGGGCACCTAGATAAATAGTTTGAATGAGATACCTAACTTTTATATAGCTATAACTATAGGAGATCAATCCCACTAAAATTGGTAAGGTGAATACGTTTCAAACTCTGTGGCCTGGGAATAATCCAAAACAAGATTAACAGGTAGAGATGTAGCAAAACTGGGAGTATACTGCTGTATATGGCAATAAGCTGAGTCATAATGTAACACCATGGAGTAGTAGTTGTGTAGAGAAAGGTCTAAGAAACACAGATCAACCTCCTGTCTGAGCAAAAGCAAAGCTTCTGTGAGAGTAGGTAAATGACGTTTCTCTAAGAGTAGCCTTTCTCTCATTTGCATCCTCTGCCTCAATCTCCCGAAGCAGAAGGGTTGACAGCCTGTGTTTCTTGAGAGGTGTATAAATTGTTCTCTGTCAACTCTGCTAACTGTATTGTCAGGGAATTCTATTTTGATGACATTGCACCCACTAGACAAAGGCTGCAGACAAGAAAATAAAACTTTTGGAAATACTGGCTTTCTGCTGACAGTTGATTAGGCTGCAGAAGAGTGACTCGTTACATGTTTTTGTAGCCTGGAAATCCATCAGGTGCTCTCCAAGCTGTTTATAATGCTTTGGCTAGTAGTACCAGGTAGGTGTAATGGAGTTCCCTGCCAGTGTACTGAATGTGATTGCAATGAAGCATGAAACAGCCTGTTTTAAGGAATTACATTAGCGCTTGCTTAGACGTGATGTTATTTATTTTAAAAGGCACCTGGATCTTTCATTAATTGAACAAGCAACCCCTTGACAGTGAGTGAATAATTAATTAAAAAGTCTGAAAACTAATATTCATTGTACATTAGGGAAACATTACTGAAAATTTTCTGGTAAACCTCTTGAAGAATAAGTAATCACATGTATTGATTTTGAGATGCTTTCCACCTATTGACACGCAGTATGTAAAGTAGATGTGCTCCTTTCTCTGCAGCTGGGATGACAGCAGCTCGGTTAGTAGTGGCCTCAGTGACACTCTTGACAACCTCAGCACGGATGATTTGAATACCACCTCATCTGTCAGCTCTTATTCCAATATAACTGCCTCTTCAAGGAAGAACACTCATGCCCAGGTGAGTAGCTTTACATTTCAATTTCTTGAAACACCCCATAAGCGTGCAGGATAACAAAGAAAAAAAAAGGGTTTTATCAGTGCCGCTGAAACAATGTAATATTCATATTTTACAAACTCTTCTATCACACTTGTGTTCAAGAAGCCCATGGACCCCACTGACCCAACCCTGATGCATGGGCTCATGCCTCAGATGCCCTGCTCACAGGGCATATCCCACTGCTGAAGGTGCCAGCTGGCAAGATCCTGCTCTGCCTGCCTTGTGGGAGCACCCACTTGTCTCAGCCCCAGGACACCCCCAGTCCCTGCTGCATCCTAACACAAAAAAAAGACCAAAAATCCCAAACCCAAACCAAACCAAACAAAAAGAAAACCCACCACACAAAACCAAAACAACAACAACAACAAAAAAAACAATATGAGTGGATCTCTCATGGGTGGTTTTCTACCCCCTTCATCCTGTTTGGAGTATCTCTTTCAACAGATAGCACAATTTAAAATGAGTTTTCGTCTTTCATGAGCTGACACATATCAGGGAAGAAATGCACAGGCTCTCCACTGCCAGAAAAGAGGCTGAAGGGAGGAGCTCACATTTGGCAGAGCTTCTCTTCTCCCCAGTTAGATCCAGGAATTAGAGTGTCCTATGCACCCACAAGCTGACAATGCATGGTGTCAAAATAGAGTTCTGAGCAGGGTTCAGCCACAAGCTATTTATATAATACATACATAGGTGTACACAGATATATAAAGCCCTTTTGCCAGGTGTCCCAATATTTCTTCCCAGCTCCCCTAAAAATTGCAAGTGATGAAAAAGACAATACAGGATGCTTGCAGGACTCAGTTCCCTTCAGAAAAGAAAGAAAAACTGAAGAGTTAGTCCCAATAGAAAAGTATTCTCTGCCATGTCATCTCCTGTTGACAAGCAGGAAACTTCAGGACTGAACATTCAGCATAGGGGAAGAGTTGTTGCCTCCAGTGATTTGATGTCAAGTATTCAGGACACAAAATTGACATGCCCAATTCCATTTAGACTCCATCAGGCAGCAGAGATCTGTTTTATAGATGTACATTGTGGTAGACTTTGTCAGCAGGAGAAAAACACTTATTTATCAAATCCTCCAGACAATGGGGAGATAAAGTTACTTTGGGAATGAAGATTACTTTAATCTGCAGCAGGACAGATTTCAGACTGATGTCGTACTCATGCAAAAATACTGGCACAGATGCCAGCATCCTTCAGCCCTTACCATTTCTTATCCCACCCCACCAGGGTCTCCCATGGTTGCTAACTGAAGATCATCCTCTACCCTTTCACATGATGGCCAGATAGTCCTGGCTTACTTGTTCCACTACGTCATCATCGTCATCACTGGGAGATTTCAGGCTGACTATTTAACTCTGTCGGTTTTTTACTTGAGTGTTCTCATGTTCTAGCTGCTCAGCCAGATATCGTTTTGAATTTGTTCAGTGATAGACAGAGATGCAGCAAATGCTCAAACGTTGCTTTCCTGCCAGAGGTGATTTATATTACGAAGGCTGGGAACAAACAGACCTTTATCAATTCTGCCTTTACCAGGCAGATTAATCAGAACGCAATGGGCTCCATGCTAGCCCGCAATCTCAGCCTGAAGCTGAGATGAGCCAAATATATGTGTGTTTTGCCAGCTGTTCTCCAGGTGTAAGACATACTCATACAACAGAGAGATCCCTTTTGTAGTTTTTTTAAGTGATAGAAGCAGTGAAAGCTGGCTATAGCCTGAGGCAGATACTGCATATTTTGTTGTTGATTTCTTATTAAAAGAGGATTAGCATTGCTTTTTTGGATCCCACGATGGTGTAGAGAGTCTTTTACAAAGTATCATACTTGTCATTTCTTGGAAATTATGCAGTTTGCTTTAAAATGTATAGCTGTGTTTATAACTATTCATTTATGAGAAAAGTTCTGGGAGCATTACACATGCTGTAACAATAACACTAATGAAAACTCTCTTCTGAAGGACCCTGTAATACTTGTGTAGATGTTTGCTTGGGCTCTTTTCCCATCAGTCCTTACCCAAAATCTGTGCTAGCGTCTCCAAAGCACATATGAAATTAGGGAAGTGCAGAGAGCTGTTGGATTTTGTATGCCTCAAATGACAAATATGTAAACAGCAACTGATTATTCTGTCGGTCATCTAATCAGTATTAATCCTACTTAGGACAGCAGTGCCTAGGAAACAGCCACAGAGGGGTCCCTGTGGAGAGGGAGTTGTGGCAACACAGAATAATAAATAGCCCTCCTCTGAAAGCGATCCAGTTTGCAGTCCTGCTTAGGTTGGCTGTACGAGGACAGGGCTGTGGTTACATCAGACAAAAGTAATGCCCAGTGATACCTGAGAGCAGCACCACTTCTTGCTGTTAAAGAGGGGCAGAGGTAAGCAGGAGTAGTGGGGTGATGATGTGCAAATATGGCTTGAGGCTGAGGTCAGGAGGCTGCAGGAAAACACAGGAGGAAGGGTTCCAACGGGCAGCCTGTCAGCACAAAGAGCGTGAGTCTTGAGAAACGCAGAGGGTAGGGTCAGTCCTCAACATTGCTATATAAGCTGCTTTCACAGCTTCTACGTTGTCTGTCATGTTGGGCTGCTTCTTTTCAGCACACCCTTATCATCACGCAGCCAGGAAAGCAGATTCGTCAGGGGTGTTAGGTCCTCACTGGGACATCTTCCCCATGACATTCAGAGCAAGCGTGACCCCAGCTGTTCACCTTCACCCCGCTGATGGGTACTGCTTGCCTAAGCCTCTCCTCTAGCTGCTCTGCTAGCTCATTTAGCTAGAGTGAGTTTCTTGTTAGCAACAATTCATTTCAGTGGAGACAAACCAGGAAAAAAGCCATCAACTGTAGCACTGATAATTTTGCTGTTATCCTTGCTCACTGGTGGTATAACATACGCAGTGCTGCTGGGAGTGATATTCCTAATTCAGTCAGTGGAAGGCTTGGGTTGGAAAAGTCAAGAAACCAGGCTGAAGTGATTTTAGTAGTATATTTAGGAATTCCCTCATTCGAGCTTTTGAATCACCTCTCAGCACCGTGATTCAGGGGGAGGTGAGGAACAATAGAGTATCACCACTGATGATGAGAGTAAATTATGGCTTTATTACGGCTTATCCATGAAGGAAAGCGTGTAAATCCTTTGAAAATAAAAGAGAAAAATATGTTCCCCAAATGGGAATGTTTTTAAACTCTTGGGATTGGGATATTAATGTTTTAGAAGGGAAGTTTCCTTCACCCTTGCTAGAAATAAATCAACATGCTTATTCTCCTCCCCACTTGTGATTTAAGAAATCAGCAAATACTGCAGATGCTGATACTGACCATTTCTCATGCAAATCTCTTGTAGCTGAAGACAGACTCGGAGAAGCGTTCAGTTACAGACAGCGAAACTTGGGGCAGCACTGAAGAACTGAAGAAACCAGAGGAAGACTTTGACAGCAGTGTAGACAGCAGTGGCAAGTGGAAAGGCCTTCCCTCGGGGCTGTCAGAAGAGTCAGAGAAGGGGGGACAGAAAGCATCTCTCTCCGTCTCACAGACCGGATCCTGGAGGAGGGGCATGACTGCACAAGTAGGAACAACTCAGTCCAGGCACAAAGCAGGAACAAGTGCGCTCAAGACCCCTGGTAGGAAACTACTGTAGTTCAGACTACAGCACTGAAAATTAAGGCTTTATACATAGAATGCACCTACAAGCAGTAAGGACTGTTTAGTGGTCTAAACGTAAATAATGGATGATATAAATGCGTGACAGATATGAGGAACTGTAAGCATATTGACAGTTCTCATAAATGACTGCAAGCCAAGATTATAATAATATAGTAACTTTTTCATCTCTGTAACTGCTAGTTCGCTACACTGCATACTAATAATTTATTAAGCACACATGAATGTATCCATAGCAAAAACTGTGATTGCATTTTGGTTTACTATCATTTGAATATGTCAACTTCTATTAAGGAGTTTTTAAAAGTGTTTTTGCACTCATTTATAGCTTATCTTTGTTCTCTAGCAAATCTGTACCTGTGATAATTGAACATGTGCAGAAAAACAGACAAATATTAGAAGCTGAGATAAAGACATTTGCTATTCAAGTGAGGACACTCAAAATTACTGGATTAGAACTAAAGCTGAATTGTAACATTCCAGATAATGTGAGTATACCATAGAGCACTGTTAAGAGAGAAAAAATTGTAAAAATTATCTTTATACACACTTTCTTCAGTGCTAAATGGCTTCTTTAATTTTGAAAGGCCTCTCAGTAGTAACTGTTTCTACAACATAGTTCTGAAGCAAAAGTTGGTGGAAGACGTCGTTATTAAGCCATCTAATCCATCATTTTCACTAAGGAAATATTGATTTTTTGTAGGCTATTTTCAAGACCTTTTTTATGTCCTGACAAAATACTGTATGAGCATGCTTTAAGCCCCAATTGTAAAGGCCACTAACAAAGATCTCCTGACAATGAATTCAAATCCTTTGTGACCCTCTTTTGTTTCTTTACAATTTTTAACTGCTAAAAACCAGCCTCTGGTCTGGAAGATCCCTGAGGAGCGTTGCCATGGTCAGTGGTCATATGGATGCAGAAATTACACCCCTGTAATAGCAATTTATAAAGGAGATACTACAAGCTAATTTTCCCAGGTCTGTTTTGCTGAAGATGAGTAGACAGCCACTGTGCAACACAGAACAGACACCTTAACCTCTTAAGACTAACAGCCTGTGTGTTTGCCGCATAGGAAAATGATCAGTATCTTGACATGTGCATTTGTTTGTGTAGCATAAAATGTGTACTAGATAAAAACCTGAGTGAATTTAGTTCTGAATTGTAGGTGTTGCTCTTTATTATAGTTCAGTTCGTTGAGAGAAATTAGGCCACCCACCTCCAAAAGTTCCACTTGAAGAGTGAATTAAAACTTTGTTATGCTGAATATCTTTCCCTTATTAGAAGCATACAGTAGATGCTTAAAGAGAAATTAGATTAGAAGAAAAATAGCATTTTTTTGTCTGTTTGTAAAATAGGAAGAGGGTTTTTATTTTCTTTTAAGATGGAAGAGAATATCTTATTTAAACCTTTCTGAATGTTACAATAACATTATTGTCATGGAAATATATGTAGAAATATGTCTGTGCAGTACTGAAGACAGGCCCTCAGAAGTTCAAAAATCTTGAAAAGATAGCACAGATATGACAAAGACTATTAACTTATGTAATTGATATTATTATGGATCAAGAAGATGCATACCATTATAACATAATCTCTCCCTGATAAATTTGTGTAGCTAAAACCATAACAAACCTAGTTATAAGCTAAAAAATATGTAATAAGTGAAATCCAAAGAACTCAATAAATACCATTAATTTCTACATACAGAATTAATGTCATACTTCTGGAAATGTAATTGCATGTCATGTTTTATTTTCAAATATTGCTTACATATAGAAATACTATTAACAGGGAAAAAAAAGCCAAACAAAATCCTTTATGGTTCAGTCAGGATAATTTTTACATCTATGCTCTCCAGCTATATATGAAACTGGAAGTTCTCAGCGTGATTTCAAGCTTTTAATACTTAGTGCTTACCTGTAGCATATCATACCTGCTATTGGCTGCTGATGGTGGGCTGAAGACCAAACTAGTCTGTTTTTATGGGGTAATTTTTCTGTTTGTATAATTTTTCATCTTGAAATTTTAACCATACAGTGTTAAAGTTAGTTATTGAGACCTTACAGCTTAAACACAAGTGACCTTTTCAAATACACTTTTATTTAGGAAAAACAGATGATGCAAAAGCTTCAGAAAAAGTAAAGACTCCCCTGAAAGGAGCCTCCATTCAGCGTTCTCCATCAGATGCAGGAAAAAGCAGTGGTGATGAAGGAAAAAAGCCTCCCTCTGGCATTGCAAGGTCAACAGCTACAGGGTCCTTTGGATTCAAGAAGTCTGGGATGGGATCTTCTACCATCATCACAACAAGTGGAGCAACTATCACAAGCGGGTCGGCGACTTTAGGAAAAATGCCAAAATCTTCAGCCATCAGTGGGAAGTCCAATGCAGGGCGGAAAACAAGCTTAGACGGTTCCCAGAACCAGGATGACGGCGTCCTGCATGTGAACTCAAAGACGACTCTGCAGTATCGAAGTTTACCTCGCCCATCAAAATCTAGCGGCAGTGGAATCCCTGGCAGGGGTGGCCACCGCTCCAGCACCAGCAGCATTGACTCCAACGTCAGCAGCAAGTCTGCGGGTGCTGCTGCCACCAAACTGAGAGAACCAAGCAAGATCGGCTCCGGCCGGTCCAGCCCTGTCACCATCAACCAGACGGACAAGGAAAAAGAGAAAGTGGCCGTGTCCGATTCTGAGAGTGTCTCACTGTCTAGTTCCCCCAAATCCAGTCCAACTTCTGCAAGCGCCTCTGGCACGCCAGGACTTAGGCAACCAGGATCCAAATACCCAGATATCGCCTCACCCACCTTTCGAAGGTTAGTGCTTTTCTATGAATTCCTGAAGTTGCAGTATATAAGGCAGGGATTTTCAATGTGTTGAAGTACTGTGCAACATGCACAGTACTTTTTAGAACATGCTTTGCCACAAACAGAGAATTGAGTTACAAAAATAAAGAGTAATATTTTTTCACGCAATGCAATTATTTTTCTGAGGCCTAAAGACTTTCCCAGACCTGAAATGGCTGTTCCTTGAGCTTTCAGCATTGTAGGTACATTCCCATAACCACAGTTTGAAGGCTAGGATAAGTTGGGCTCGATGATCCCAATGGGTCCCTTCCAACCCAAGATGTTCTATGATTCTAAGTTCTTACTGAATATTCAGGCACATGAGAAGTTCCCTCTCAATACTCTGATAAGCCCTCAAAGGGAAGAAGGACGTTGCGTTCAGGCACATTCTGTTACGGAACAGGCGGTGCCGTAGCCTGGTCGGAGAACTGAAGAGCTCTGTAGATAAATAAAGCATTTGCTTTCATGCTGTTGGCAGCTTCAGCTACAAACATTTCATTATCTTAGCAGCTTTTCTACATCTTTCATCACAAGGCTAAATTTCAATTGGAAATGCCCTATTGTAACGTTTCTGGGAGTATAAATTGGGATGGAGCATTTGCACTGTTGGAGAAAAGGCCAATAGTGCCCTCTTGTGCCTAGTTACCAAAACGGCATCTCCAGACTGCTGGGGAGATGCCGCTGATTTCTGGTAATATGTAAAATGGATTCTTATGTTACTAGCCATGCTTACTTTGCACACTATAAGTTTTGCATTTATTTCTTACTAATTTATGAGCTGCACCTTAACTGCAGCTTGAAATATTTCCAATAAGGCATTAGGCACACATGACCTTTTACTTCAACAGTTTTAGAGGATTTGGGGTTTTTTTTTCATCACCACTGTAGAATTTTCTTCTACAGAATTGCTGGAAGCAATTACATGAAATACACCTCTGTTATGACTGCTCTTGGAGGCAAACAGAGCTCATCTAGCTCCAGTGCAGTTTATTCTCTCTGAATGGTTACTATATGACTGATGGCCACATGACCATCTGTGCAAAAGAACAAGAGGGAAATTTTACACAAATACTTAGATGTTTATTAAAATGTGAAGGATTGTTCAAGTGCTTTTTGCTGATTTTAGCTGATTTGAGAAGCAAGGGATTTAAAAGCTAATGACTTAGCCGTGGGAACGCTTAATTACTGAATTTGGGTGAAAGTGTAATCTGTTTATGCACTAATAAGACAAAAATGTGATTATTTTACCTCTCTCTGGGAGGGTCGGTATGTGCAAAGAGCACATCTGAACAGGAGTGAATGAGAGCTGTTGCTAATGAAACAAACCCTGATTATTGTGATGTAGTTAAGCGAATTTAATTTTGCGACGTGATTGATCAAGTAGGTAGGCATGATTTTAGTAGCGGTAATTAAGAATGTGTGGTTTGGCTCTTAGGATGTTAAGCCATGAATGTTTAATGTGGCTACCAGTTTCTCTAAAGCTATTTGTTTTACATTTAGGTTGTTTGGTGCCAAGGCAAGTGGTAAAGCTGCCTCTGCACCCAGTACTGAAGGTGTGAAACCCACATCGGCAATGCCCAGCCCTAGTACCACATTGGCACGGCAAGGCAGCCTGGAATCGCCATCCTCGGGCACAGGCAGCATGGGCAGTGCAGGTGGGCAAAGTGGTAGCAGCAGCCCCCTCTTCAGTAAACCTTCGGACTTAAATGCAGATGTTGTAAGCTTAAGTCACTCCTTGGCTTCCAGTCCCGCCTCAGTGCACTCTTTCACATCAGGTGGTCTTGTGTGGGCTGCAAACCTGAGCAGCTCGTCAGCGGGCAGTAAGGACACACCAAGTTACCAGTCCATGACTAGCCTTCACACCAGTTCCGAGTCTATTGACCTTCCTCTTAGCCATCATGGCTCTCTCTCTGGACTGACAACAAGCACTCAGGAGGTTCAGAGCCTGCTCATGAGGACTGGAAGCGTCAGATCTACTCTTTCGGAAAGGTGAGCTTACCTATAGATACAGTGACCACAAAACCAGTGAGAGGCAAAAGGACAGGAGCCAAAAAAATAAACCCTCTGCCTCTTTTGCTAAGGGGACGCTGTTTAATTAGCAGCTTAGTCCTTTATGTAAAGAAGGAAGGAAGAACAGAAAGCTGAAAGGCATTGGATGTGGGATCAACTGCCTCTTGAGGTTTTACAAGCACTTCTATCTTTACAAGGTTTTTTGGTTCCCTTGTTCTGGAGAACAACCAGAGAAAAGGGGAAAATTGTCTAATTAAAGGCAAATCTAAACAGCCACATAACGATTCCTGCATGCAGGACCCACTTGCAGTGCAGCAACTGACAGCTCCAAAGCTGTATCACTGCCCTCTTGCTAACAAATCTTCTCTGGCACTGGGACCCCACCAGTTTTCTCCCCATTAGTTAAAAGCACGGGTAGAGCTGGTGACCCCCTGCTTTCAACTGACCAGTCTTGCCTTAAAATGCCCAGTCCTGACAAGTTGCTTCCTACATGGTAATCGTTACACAGATCCATACTAAAATGAAGTTTCACTGGCAGGGAGACAGTTCACAAGACGGGATCCTCACTATATGCACAGTCCTGTGTCAGTCAGTGTCTGCAACAGACAAACAAAAGCGATAATGAGTGTTCCTCTGCTTGCTCGTTTTAACACGCAGATATTTTACCTTTTGTTTTATATTGTCAAGTGGTGCATCCACCCCGGCACGCTTCTACCACGCTGCTTTTTTTTTTTTTTTTTTTTTTTTTTTTTGGGTGGGTTTTTTTTTTTTGTCTGTGTGTGTGAATTATTTATTTTACTTTTGCAAGAGAGTAAAAATAGATTTTGCTACCAGTAAGTAAATTTCACTTCCTGTGAAAAATTTCAAGATTTGACAATGAAACTCTTATCTCACATGGGGACTGAATAGTCACTATATATTTCATTAGCCTTTGACCCCCTCAAAAAAATTATATTGAGTCAGTCAGAGATATTTCAAACATTTTAAAGTTAATATTAGTTGTTTAACTACACAATCATTTAAAGGAAAAAATATATTTTATATAAAACGTTAAGGTTTTATTTTTCCCCAGAAATTTTTCAATGCCAATCCTTTCCACAAAAAGATTTAACTCTCACTGAATCAGCATTAAAAAAAATCCAACCAGACAAAACTTAAACCCTAAACAACTCTTTGCCAAATCTAGATGGAAGCTCTCTGCACATTTTGTTCTCATTACATTCGTAAGTATTACTATATCAGCTAAAATCACACCTCTTGCTAATATAATTACATCACTATATAACATGTGTGTACCAGTATAATGTATGCTAAAAACAGTAGTTAAAAATACACTTATACATGAGTAATTTTTAATTTGCACTGTGCCTTTAATTTTTAAATAGTAATTTACATTGTGTGCCATGAACTGAATGTGAAGATATTTCTTAGGAAGTTAATTATTAATATTTAGCTTTTAAAAATTTTCACTGTTTTTTAGCACTACATGTATGGTGTGGTCAATAGAATGATGTGAAAGAGTATGAATTAATGCCAAAGTTCGTAGTTATACAGAGGATGTGAAACATTACATTTAAAATGCTAATGGTTTGGCATAACCTCCGGAGCAACCCCCACTATTAATACTTTATGTATTTGTGCAGTGACTTACTTTCAGTGGTTCCAAATACTTTGCTTTTGGCAATATTTTTAACTTTCAGATTTGTCCATATGGGGATATTATGACTGAATCCAGAGAGAGACATTTATCATATTGATCTGGCCTCAAAACAAATATATGTACCTAGAGAAAATGGTGTCATTTCTTGAATTAAAACCCCCATAGGATTTTTGCAGTTTGATTTTTCTGAAAGGTCTGTTACAAGTGCTGTGTTATTTCTAAGCTGGTTTATACAGTATAACCTACATTAAGCAAAGTATTTTTTCACAACAAAAGCATTGTTTTGCAATGTTAGAGACAGATATGATTAGCAACAGATTATGTCCTTTTCCTTTGTAAACTCAGATTATATTTCAAATGCTTCCATCAATGCTGGTTGTAGCCTGGCATGGCATGAGAAATTACCTGCAAAGAGGGTTATTATTTTTCTCTAATCACTCTAGAGCTTGCAAAAGACTGAATGAGCAGTCGGTATAGTGAGATATGCTAATACAATGTAGAAACAAAATCAGAAAGACAAAATGAGATGCAACTAGCAAGCAACATATAATCTATGCAGAGAAAGCCTAGAGAAAACTGAAGGAGGAGTGCTAGTAATGGATGATACATATATATATGAGTTTGCTTCATTGAAACATTAATTGCAAATTGATAGCTAAGCATCATAATGGCAAGCATAGTAAGAGGGAATGAAAAGGTTAAAGTTTACTCCAATTTACTGGGTCCTGATGAACTTTTCACTTCCCTGCTTCAGACGCAGTCTGAAATAGCCCTGCAGTCATTAGGACTGACGAAGAGATTTCAAAGGGTCTGTGCTGAGGAAGGAGTGAGGAGGAGGGTTGGGATGGAGGTCGAGGGTATTATGGGCAAGGTCACCTTGCCTCTGCTCCTGGAAGGATACAGAGGATATTAAGCAAAATGGGTTAAGTTACAGATAACATGAGATTAGTCATTAAAAGCCTTTTAAGTAAAACTAATTTAATTCATTTGCAGGAAAAGAGGTTGTGAGTAGAGGAAAGGAATTAGCAGATACAATAAGAAATCTTGAACTAAATAAGGCTTTAGGTGTTATTTCAAACAACACCCTCATAAGCAAATGAGAGAAATAAGTAAGGTGTTTTACTGTTTGGTAAAGAGTTATCAAACACTAGTGATCGCTGGTTTATTAGCCTGAAGAGATATAACAGGGATATATTTACACAAATACAAAATGCAAAAATATGAGGCTATTTTGCAGAAAGGAGGCAGTGTCTAACAGATGAAGTGCCATTGCTGGGACAAGGCATTTTCCCAGTATTTTGAAAATGACAGTGCCACATGTAAGTCTTAGAAAGCAGTTATCCCATTCTATGTTTTGATTTTAAAGCTTTCACTTGAAGACTTTGGGACATCAAGTTTTAGGAAAGATTTGATGCAACTGGAAAGAACTCAGAAAATGAGACAAAAATCTCAGGGTACATCTATGTTTCCTGCTAAGGAGAGTAGCTTGTGGCTGCCTTCAAAAACGCTGTCAACTGCCGTGGAGACAGCAAATCTGCAAGGTCCCTGCTACATTTGCCCACACATACTGGGCACGTTTCAGTCCCTCCGAGGATGATCAGACGTTGCCTACACCCAGTCTTCAGGCTACCCGCCAAGCAACGGTATGCCATAAACACACAGCTCCCTGTCAGCTGCTGTATTGTTACAGTGTCAAAGTTTACTTCAGCCGAATTCTGTGTCATTCTATGAGATTATTTTGCATTGTAATAACCAGAAAATAGGTTCAGTAAATTGTAGTGAAATATTTGCTTTTTTTTTTTTTTTTGGTGAAATATCACTGCTTGAATAGATCACATTTTCCAGGTGGACACATCAACATTGCTTCTTTTGAACCCTTAATTGCTGTTGGGCATTGCAGATTTTTATCTGTCTTCTGCTTGGTCTGAGTGACACACCAAGGGATGCATAAAAAATGCAAAAATACAGGAATTAACTGTGGTCCCATCAACAATTATGGCTGAGTTTTAAGATTGGAAGTTGTTTCTAATTACATGACTGGCTTGCTCTGATTTACTTTAAAAGGATGTTTAGTTTTGAGGGCCATAAAAATGCATTGAAATCCACTTAAGCTCTTCAAAACTTTCAGCTGTGTTAAATCATCATCATGGTTGATGATTGTGGTTTTAAGGTGTCTCATAATGCATCATGCATCAGATTTTCTTGTATTCTCAGCCAGTTGTAGAAACTCATTTGTAAGACCTGTATCAGCTTGGCCCAAGCTGTTCCATACCTCCCTAGGTGCTACTTAGCTTGCAATAATTTGTTTTACTCTCTAACAGCCCTGCAACAATTATATATAGCCCCAAAACATGGCATTATGGCCCTTACCTATGTTAACCTCAACAGCAAGGGCAGGTAGAAAACAGAACTGTAGGGCTTCTTCCAATATCCTCCAGAGAATTTGCAAGTATTTTCAGCAGTGCAAAATAAACAAAAGGGAATGGAGATATGGTGGACTTTATAACTTGAGCCTTCATCTGCATGCATCTTCCTGCTAGACTGCTTTTGGGAATTGATATGGCAAATGAAAAGATCAGGAATATTACAATATTCTTGTCCTCACATTATATTGGTATTTGCTTTGAGCCAAAGAGGCAGATTTCCATGAATGCACTGCTTCCTTCAGGAAAGGACTGACTTTTTCATATTATCTTTAGCGATCTTTTGAACACTGAGGTCAAGCTGGTAGTGTCCTAATGGGATCACTGAATGTTACAGTTCATTTCTATTTACCAAAGCTGCAGTTTCTGTAGAAGTAACATACCCAGCTTCTTTGTGGAGAAATACTTTCAGGTATAAAATAGATAGGGGGAGGTTTGAGTGTGAAATGATAGTTGCATAGAACCATGGTTAAGAGTTTCATGCAAATATCTGAAATCTAGTAGCATCTTCGCAAGATTTAATATTTTTAAAAAGCAATGTGAATATTTGCTACATTCAGTTCTATACAACTGCAGTAGCTCCATGCTCATGTTGAGGAATATTCACCCTTATTTCATTTGGGTACCTGATATCAGAAGTTTTTAAGAAAAATTCCGTGGTCACTGCTAGCCTGTTTATCTGATTGACTTAAAACTTGGCTTGCCGATTGCTTTAAAGGAGCAGTGATTCGCTCCTTTAGTTTTAGATAACGTGCTATAGATTATGTTGAAATACATAGAACTTCAAATTAAAGTAATACTAAAAAATGTATTGCTCATTAGGATGTTTGAAGCATTTGAAGAAGAACGGTTATGTTACTATTAGCGTGTTTGTTTGTTTTGAAATTTAGAGGTACATAAAGGAACATCAAAGCACAATTCTTCCCTCTAAGGATCTAAAAAATATAGAAATCAGGCATTCAAATTTGTGTGGTCTTTTTACCAACCATTTTTGGTCCTGTTAGTAATAGGAGTAAAATGCTGAAAATGTAGTCCTCTGATAGAGGACTCCTCTCACATGGACCATGATAGCTGGGCCCATGCTGAAATAATGCAGTTTCTCCTTCCATTTCCTTTCTCCCCAGGGCCTTGATTAAACCAGTAAAATTGCCTATAAAACTTGCTAGTGGTAAGAGGGGTTTATTTACCTAAGCCTGAGCCCTAATGGTAATGGATTTTTAACTCCAACAGTATTTTCACTGCCTTTCCTTACTTGGATCAAGGTTACATGGCAGTGGGGTGCTCAGCACCCCAGCAGAAAATGTCCTTTAGTAATGGTGTGAGCGTTTTCCTGGGTAAGAAGGGTCCTAAGTTACTGTTGTTCTCAGAGGTGTGATTATGATATGTAATACAGAAACTTTCTAAAGTCATCTCACAATTTAATCCATGTGGCAACACTAAATTACATTCTTAAGGGAAAAACCATTGCAACACTTGCTTGATGATAACTAGTTCAAATTCAACCCACACTACTCAAGGACTGATCTACTAAGTCTTTTTGAGGAAATGCCCAAATGGCATTGGATTTGAAGGAAGGCTAGGGAGTGCCCTTCTAGCGGTGGGGTTTGAATTAGCACATATCCAGTGATCAACCACTCTGCCACTGTGTGTGCAGGAATATGGAACAACGTTGCCCTAGTGACACTTTTTGCTGTCCCCACCATTACCTCACTATGTGAGCCCTACAGCAACAGAAAGCCAAGGCTCTGTATATTTAGCACATATTTCCACGAGCAGAGCTGGCATTTGGCTTCTGGCAAGGCCATGCTGTCTCCTAGCAGGTGCCACAACCTTAATTTATTTTGAAAATCTATTGGCATATCATAGGCAACTGTGAAAAATAAAGAATCATACTGTGACCATATGATTCTCTTACAGATTGCAGGGTGAAACTGTAGGAAGGTTAGAAATGGTAAGGACTTCTTTCTGACTTGGACAGTCTCCAAATTACTATTGACCCAGCCCAGAGCATGTCTAGATGAAAAATGAATGTGCAGCAGTCCATGTCTTATTGTCCCCTCCAATGAGTCAGGGATTTATCATGAAAGATATATTAAAAGCATTAAATGACCTTCTGTTATGCACACATATCTAGACCTTTAAAATTTGTAATTCTGAACAGTCCTGTTTACTATATGTCCTTAGGGATTTTTTTTGTTTTAACAGCATGCAGCTTGACAGAAATACACTACCCAAAAAGGGATTAAGGTATATATTTTTTTGAGCATGACTGCTGCTTCTCTGTTTTCCTGTAACCTTTTCTACACTGTCTTTCCTTTTCTTTTTGTTTTTATTGATCCTGTTTACAACAGAGGTCTTGGTATTTAGGTTTAAACAAAAAAGCAGATTTCAACAATAGACTTTTTCTTTTTAAGTCTGCCTAGTGAATAGATTTCCTTTCAAGACATATTATGGAACGTGAATACTATTACGGATAATTTCCTTATGCAATGAATCTTTAAAGGCATTGAATCCTGGAGACCTAAAAGAGAAACAAAAAAAAAAAAAAAAAAGGTTTGCAATTCAATGGAACTAATTGTTGAAAACATTATTGAGAAATATGATGTTTTAGATGTGGATCTGAACTTCAGCTCTAAATGCAAACACTCAAGCAATTTGAATTGAAGATATTGTAAAGAGTAAGGCTAGAAAATGGTTATTTTAATACCCAAGGTATGCAAGTATAAAATGATCCCTGCTCTAGCCAGTTGTCCTGTTCCCTATCTAGCAATACTCAGAGTCCAACTTTGCTATTAATTTTCCACTAATTAGAGCATCTTCATCACAGAAAACAGAAGTCACTCCTCCCCTCTTTTGTCCTCCATGGTTTAGAGAGGGGATTATTAGGTAACTTGTCTGGTCTTATCAGGCATGGCAGCCTATCTCTCTAGTCCAGGAAGGAGATTTGTCAAGCAAGGGTACGTGCCTGCCCACAGACACTCTGCAGTCTTCCAGTCACTGAAATTACACAGTTAAATCTCTTGATTTATTGATAAATAATATCTGATGAAATTTAAAGACAGTGCAAAAGCATCACCAGAAAGCACCTTCTGTTATTCTGCACTACCCATTCCCTAAAAAGAATTTAATCAAATTTCCTGTTATCCCCAACCAATCACTTTGGATTGAGAGAAAATGGAAGAGGTGGAGGACAGGGAAGAGACATAAAGAGGACCGTGCAAGGGGTCTGAGGTTTGTGGCTATATCACTGTAATGGTAGCTGAAAGCTGAAAGTGAAATGGAGTGGGAAAACAGCTTATAGGCATATCAGTTATCCCAGAAAGACCTTCTGTTTGATTTAATGTGCAGAGATCCCAGTCCAAGAACTAGATCCTGAATTCTCATTTTGTCATCTTTCTGATCTGATAACCACTGGGTAATTCTGCTCTACCACATTTATAGGCAAAGATCATAGCTGTCTTTTTGAAAGGAGAAAGGAAGTAAATATTTAATCAGGACAAGATGTTTTAATGCCATAAAATATTGTTCAAAACCCCAAGCACAACATGAGAATTCACATGCTCATTTAATCTGCTTTCTAAGCAGAAATACTTGTACCTCACAAGCCTGAAGCCCGAGTATCAAAAACCCTTTCTGCTCTGCTGTTTGGGGAATACTGATGGCTCATGGCAGTATTCAGCAGGAAATTGTGCTGAATGAAGCAGGCTACTGCAGACATTGATGAAAACAATCTTTGGGTCAAGACCCATGCTGCCTGCACATTTTAATGTTTAACCACTTCCAGAATTGCCCTTCTTCCAGCCCAGTCCCATGGAGCTGGGCCAGTGACTTACCAGTTCTTCCTCTTAGCCCATATGTCTAGTTGCACATGTTTTACTGGTTTGCCATAGGAAGCAGTTGATGAATTATTTAATTGCCAGACTTCTTCCTTCCAGAGAACTTGTTTCTGCTAATTGTGGAATTTTCCTGTCCCTTTCCCTCCCCCCAGTTTGGGGCAGGACACAATTCCAAGTAGCATTCAGAGCAACAGACTGCACTTATGACCATGAGTAGCTGTCATTAACAATGTAAACTCCTTTTTCAGAGTTTTCGATCTGTTTTATGCCTGTCATCTAACCAATTGCCCACGTGATCTGTGGCAGATGTCATTTTGTAAGCGGCTACTCACATTTCTTGGCTTCTGATCTGTCCATCCCCATGAAAGCCATACAGTTTCCAAGCTTTTGCATCAACCTGTACACTTCCTATAGCTTTAAAGTCCTTTCCTGTCAGCTCAGTTGTCTGTCTTCTATGGTTTATCATCATATCTCTTGAAAGGAAGAGAATGCTATTTTAGGAGGGGGGTGAAGAGGCAAAGGGATTTCAAGTCCTGTATTTTTTCTGTTGTAATAAGTTGGTAAATTTTACCCTGTTAAAATCCCTGGTGATAATTTCTTGTCTAGATGCTTTCCAAGGGGTTTGTTCTATCTAACTGGCAAAGACTATTTATGTGACACCTGTTTCTTTCCTACTGTCAACTTGTTGGTTTGAGCATGTCAGCTGTGGTTTTTCAGATATACTCCATCATCCCGGCAGACAAGTCAGGAGGAAGGCAAGGAATGGCTACGCTCCCATTCAACCGGAGGCCTGCAAGACACTGGCAGTCAGTCCCCGCTTGTTTCTCCTTCAGCTATGTCTTCATCTGCAACCGGAAAATACCACTTCTCCAACCTGGGTAACTGCTATTTCTCCCGCTCTAAAATAGAATCATAAAATTCAACCATTCATATGTCTTAGTTTGCCAAACTAGGTGATTTATTTTAACATCTCCGTCATCATATTGTGGTACCTCACTAATGAAGTGAAACTCACAGTGTTTTTCATGGAGTAGGCCAGGGTGCCTCTTATTTTGCATACAGAAAAAAGGCAGTTTGTCTATGACTTGATCAAGGAGAAGAAAATCTGAATCAGAGCTGGAAATCAGCTTCAAGTTTAAAGCTACTCATCTCTTAGGATTCAGAGTCAGTAGGATTCTTTCCAGTGAATTTAGTGAATGTCAACCCACACATTTCTTTTTTCCTATATATGTGTTTGCTTTGAAATAGACCTTTCCAATGCATTTCAGTGGCTGGACCTGCGTCCAATACAAATTCTGTCCTCGAATGCAATATAATATTTTAGGATATGAGTCACATTTCAGATTTATTTGATTACAGGTCAAGATTTAGATTTGGTTCTTCTGGATTTTGTTTCAAGTTAATCCAACACAAATTTAGTTTTTTTAATAATTTTTTTCTTTAATACTTAATAGAAAACCATCTATTTGCACTACTCTGGACACATAGTTAGGTTCACAATGATCTTTTTAGACCCTTAATGTCAAAGTAGCAGCAACCTTTGAAGCATTCACAATTCCATCACAGTTTATGGCATCTGTAAGTTACAATCCCTCAAAAGAAATCTGATGCGACATCAAATGTTGGTCTTTATTACATATGGGAAGAGACGCTGAACAAAGCCACTTTTAAAAATGAAATCAGAGCTTGGCTAAACAAGCCACCACTTTGGATTTCCTCCATGTACTTCCAGTTGTTTTAGACACAGCTCTTTTTAAGCAGTGCTTCTCTCACTCTATCAATGTCTGCTTACAATTAATTTCTCTTTCTTTTTGTTCATGGTCTTGTACTCACAACAGAAAGCAATAGGATCAGGGTGGGTAAAAATTTGTCACTGTCCTTTGCTTCTTTCCATTATCATAGCCTTATGGAATAATTTGCCCTCACACACAGCTGCTCTGGTAGTTTATGACTTAAGGCACATATTGCATTATCTAAAATAAAAGTCCAAACAGCGAGGCTGATTTTGGGTAGATAATTAGCTTTTTCTTCTAGGCATTGAGTTCATGTGATCCAGATGATTCCAGACTTTCCTTCCTACTGGCAAAAAAACCTTGCAAAAGCTTAAGTAGTTTCATCCATGCTGTTCTGTATTTCAACCATGAGGATCTGACTATTCCTGTTTATTATGATGAGATTCAACTGGTCTGTGTAGGACTTTTAACCTAATATAGTGGTAGTTGCTGTAGAAAATCAAAGGACAAATGTCTTGCATGTGCCAATAAAATTTGATATTAACAGCAGTCAGTAATATAGGTATATAACAATAAAATACAGATACTGATTTATTAGAAGAGATGCTTAGAAAAAAATACTTAAAACTTCTTATTCCTTTTTAACTTTTAACTTTTTAATCTCTCCTGTTGATTTGCTGTCTTGGGCTGCCAGAGTGAACAAGTGTGTATTCAGACAACAGCGTTAGTGTTACTGTGTGTTTTACAGGATTAGTCTCATCCAGCTCCAGCCCCTCAGAAATCATCTGCTTCACCTTTTTGTGGTGGCTTTGTATGTAGGAGTAAAACCTCTCATTTTCTCAACACCATGACTTCCACCTAACCATGCTAGTCCTACATACAGTTTTGTGCAGATGCAAGGTTTGTTTAACGAAGATATGCTTCATTAATAAAGCTTTGTATTCCAGTGAGTCCAACCAACCTATCTCAGTTTAACCTTCCTGGACCCAGTATGATGCGTTCAAACAGCATCCCTGCACAAGACACTTCTTTCGATCTGTATGATGACTCCCAACTGTGTGGCAGTGCTACATCCTTAGAAGAGAGACCACGAGCGATTAGTCATTCAGGTTCATTCAGGGACAGCATGGAAGAAGGTAAGACTGAGTTACTATTGGGATCAGTGACTAGGCCCCAAAATAGGTCTCCAAAGTGTAGTAAAATTTTAAAACATTTCTTCTGCAACAGAAAGACTTAAATAATTTTGAAAAGCTGTTTTGGTTTTTTTTTTTTTTGTAATTTCTGTTGAACTGGACTCGCAGGACTTCCTAAAGCATGGAGGATACTTCTTTCACACAGTAATGTGTGCTGTGAATGTCATATATGTATAAATCCTTTATCAGAGGTTTTGGAGGAAAAGAAGCCATTCTAGGAAAATTAGTATTTTCTTTTTGCCTCTAAATTTGAAGTGTTTGAGAATACCTTAACTGCTGTGATTCCATGCTTTCTTAGTCCTACTTCTGTATTTCTTTTTTTTTTTCCCCGAATGCCAGTGTTACTTTGCATTCCCTTTCTTTTGTAGTAATTTCATTTCCCCACTTTTCTACAGCCCCCTACAGCAAACACAATGTGAGTTTCTGTACTTAATCTCTCTCATTTAATCTGACCTCATTACGTTCTTTATACAGATTATTACTGTTGGTCTACTGTTGGTCTGGTTTCTTTAATGCTATGTACAACACCTGAAATTTGGGGAATATTTGTTGTTTTGGTTTTATTTCTTTTTTAACCACAGAACATCTGACAACTCCTAATTAAATGAACTGTAACATTTTCTTCTACCTAACATTTCTAGTAAAACTGATTATTTGCAGAATTCCCATAAGCACAATGTTCTCACACCCTTTAATTAAAAAAAAAAAGGCAAATCCCCCCCCCCCCCCCAACAAACCACAAACCCCAAAAAAACCCAACAAAACAGGGGAAAAAAGCCCCAAAACACCCCACTAAAATTTAATGGAGGTTCATTCTATAGCATCAGCTCATAAATCTAGCTTACTGCTAAGTGATGACAATATAAATGATCTTTATAACAAGCAAATAAAAAGTCTTCCCCTAGCACCAAAGCTCAAATTTATAATATAAAAAGAGGGGGAAAAAAGTCCGAGATGAAATAATGGACAACTAATACTTTGACTTTTCAATTCCTTCTCCTGTACGTTAGATGATATGTCAGGCGGACATCTGGGTATGTATTACTAGCAGTAGGGTGCAGGACAGATCAAGCTGTGAGTTGTCAGCACAGAGACGACGGCTGACTGCACAGAAGCGTATCACATAATTCAAGGACAGAGGTGACTACAGACCCTTTGCTGAGAAAAAGGAGAATTATCAAAGGAAACACTGGAAGAATAACAGAGGAAAACAATGGAAATAATTTATGCATAGAAAAAGAGGTGTTAAATCTAAAATTTCAGTAATGGTCACCAGTGGCTTTGATGAAAGCTTTTTCATTGGTCACGTTTCATATCCAGCTGGAGTGGATAACTATGATCAACCTGAGTAAATGAAAGTCAATGCAGTGATAATAAACAGTTTTCAGCAGTTTACGGTCATTAGAGATTCACAGGAGATGATGCTGTTGAAAGGCCAAATGTATTTTATTTAAGACAGGAGCTCTGAGGAAAGTTATAGTGAAAGAAGTGTAATGAGTAGTGCTGGTGTACGAGAGCAGAATGGCAATTCAGTTGACAGGTTTAAAATAGAGACTTGAAAAAACAGAGATAGATTGCAAGCAACAAGATTTCAATGGTCAGTGTACCACATCTTTGTAAATATTTGCCCAGTTACAAAATTATATTCAAAGTCTATTTGGCTGATCCAATTATTCTTCTATTATCAATCTGGAATACAGATGCCACTTATAATTTATTTACCAAAACATGGCAGATTATAAGTATTAAACAAGTTTCTTTTGAAACAAAAATGGAAAGAAATAATGAAATAAATTATCTCCTTTCAAATTCTCTGTTGGTGTGTCCTTCATCATTAGAGTCATCAAAACCAACATTTACTCAATGCTCTTGAAGCTGCCTCTACTGATGATTAGTGGAAATATGGCACTATGTCTTGCAGTAACCCCTTCACACAGAGTACAAATGCCAGTGTGCACCAGTCTGCGTTGTGCTGCGGGGAGAAACCAGCTAAGCAAAGCCTAGGAGCTCACCCCAGGGAATATGAACTGTTTTGCAAAGACTAGTCTCTTATTAAAATCAGTTTGCTCTGTTTTGGACAGGTGTATAAATAGCTAAATTTCTGATTTCTTTAAAGTATGTGTTTATCAAGTGATTTGTTGTCAGACCAACAAAAGTGATGCTTGGTTTGCTGGTAATAATGCTGGATCTCACTGGCTTATTCTCCTACCTCATACACAGCAAAGGGTTCTTTTGTATAGAACAATCTTTTTAAATGCAGGAAAAATATCAATAGTTTTTCTTTACTGATAACTCAAAATTGCTCTTTGTGGAAGATTGCTTCTCATTTTAAAAAGATATTTAGTTATTGAGCTACATGGGGGAAGTTTTATTCTGTCATCAATATTTCATGATATTTTCTTTTTTTTAAAGTACATGGGTCCTCATTATCACTTGTCTCCAGCACATCCTCTCTCTACTCCACGGTGAGTGTTGACATTTTAGGAAAAAGCTTTGCGTGCCTCTGTTCTTGTTCATTGTGCATGAAACTTTCAGTGCTTTGAGGTTTAGAATGATTAAAATTGTACTGCAGTAAAGCAGGAAGGTTTATTTTCAACTTTGGTATTACTATCATGCTAATTTAGAAAACATGATTTTCATCTTTTTATGTGATTTACTACTTTTCTAATTGCACAGTTTAGAAAGTGTTTTTCTCATGTTTGAGGTATACTTCTTGGAAAACAAGATCTCTTCATGGTAAGGGAGATGCAATTTTCAGTTTAAATGTCTACTGACCTTTGTTGCAAATGAGACCATTAGATGTTATTTCCCAATAGGACAGTGGAATAACAATAGATGTTATTTCCTTAAATAGGACAGTGTCTTAAAAAAGTATTAATTTTAGTTAATTAGATTAATTAAATTGAGTAATAATTTAATTAATACAAGTAATAATTGTATTCTGGCTCAAGCAGAAGTGCTGGCTTTGATTTTTTTCCTTTTCTGTTTTGGAATAATTTTTTGGATTTTCTGTATAATTTGTTGCTTTAGTTGTTCTACTCACAAGACATCATCCATCCAGGAGGAGTTAAACACGTCTGAACACTCCCTTTCTGATACACAACAGTTGTTTTGCAACCTATTCACTAACTACAATTACATGCTGCAGTAGCCTTTTTCCTGGGAGAGCAACCAACTTGCTTTCATGCTGTGCATTCATGAATAGTCTGTCTCCGTATTTTTAGATACTGAACAGTGTCAGCTGCTCTGGGAATGACATGGACTCCTCTACCCAGAGCCAACAGCAGCTCTTGCCTGGGAATACCAAGCCCATGCAGTCTGATGCATCTGTACCATTTGGTAGCCCTATCTCAATGCTGAACTCATATTAGGTTGGAAAGTAGGTTGCAACCATGCACAACATCTACCTCAATGGTGCCTCTTCTAGTTCTGTTTAATTTTAAAAACATCTATACAAGGGCATTACTAAAGCACACATTAGGTTTCTCCAGGCCTTAGCAGCAAGTTGCAAGCAATTCCAGTCCAGACAAGTCCTGAATTATTTGGCGGAGGAGGTAGAATATGCATAGAGACTGGATGCATGTGAGGTATGACTGACATTCAAAGCAAAGCTACAAATGTTTTGGTAGTCAAAAAATCCTTATTCCTATTTCCCTGTCTATGAGACACTATGATCAGTTTACATGGGAGGATTTACAAAATTATAATTCAAGCTTTGATGTCAAATTTTAGAAGAATGTTATGAAACTGATAGATGGTAAAAATCAAATTATAAAGTGGTACAGGATTACTTCAGCACTCAGTAAGTCAGCCAGTAAGTCTAAAACACCTCTGCTCTGATGTTGTATAATTTGCAAGAGTTTACGAATGCTTTCTATTTATATAACTTGCTATCATTCAAGATTGCAGAGTATCTTGGAAATATTACCTAAACCTCATGATATTAAAGAACAGATTTTTTTCCTGCAAAACAAACTTTAAACTATTTACACAAGTTCATACTTTAAGTGGAATATGTTCTGAAACACCTGACTGAATTCACATTGTGGCTAAACTCTTAAGTTATGGATTATATAGATATATATGGAAGCAGATGTATAATGGAAGTTACAGAAAAATCTGTAAGGGGCAAGAAAGGAATTAGTATGACAAATTTACTAGGATTGACCTTTAGGGATGATTTTTTATCAGAATTTATTCTGCTTGATCCCTCTCATCCTGTGAAAAAAAAGTTTAAACTTTCCAGCAATTACTCAGAAGATGATGCACAAGTGGAGTATAGAAACATGAAAGGTTGGCAATCAGTATCACATCAGCTGAAAGTAGTGAATGATGTTTCATTGTTTGATGATACGGTGCAGTGCAGCAGGAGGGATAGCTTCACAGAGTTATGGCACATGTAAATCACTTTCAGCTATTACTAGGTTCAAGGAGGAGTACAAGGGCTTTTTTACCTTACTTAAGGTAAAAGGCAAAAAATCACTAAGCAGGAATTCCAAAGCAACTGCCTTACTATAAGTGTCTCAATCAAATATATTTATGAGATTTCTCAAGCATTGCCTTAAGCATTGGTGCTAGTGGTTTTCTGCAGCCTCATCGCTGGAAAGATTCAGACAAAGTACTAAGTAAAGATCAAGATCTTTATGTATTATTACCAAACATAGTTGAAAATCTTGAAGTTATTCTCCTAAGATTGTTTCTTTGAGAATTAGAATGTGAAATTCAGAAGAGATTTCATGATTTGCTGCCATTGCAATGGATAATTCCAATGAGACGGAAGTTCTGTGTTCCCTAGTATTTTCTGTATGTATTGGTGTTGTTCTTGATTTGCATTTGGGTTTTCAGGAATTAATTGAATAGACTGGAAATTTAGCTTGTGAAGTTATGCATGTAGAGAGAGAAACATTTGGTTGCAGAGGAAAGTGTGCTATATAAGCGGACTTAGACTGTAGGATCAAAATACTGATCAGCGAATATATCCAGCTCTCTGAGAAGTTGAAAAAGACGTGTGGTACTGTAAATTATAATAGCTTGTCTACAGATTTAACCTCCTCCTGCTCAGTAGGTGAGACACTGCAATTTGCACATATTTAATTAATTGCTTTACTTCTTGCACTGGCTTTCAGCATTAGCTACACTTAGAATCTCTAGACTTCATTAACTGCGCTAAGCTAAACTCAGAGGAGATGTGTAAGGACATGTCATTAGTATGCTAATATTTTAAGTCTTCAAAAAAAAAAAAGAAAAAATAATCCTTACAAGGTTGGGATGCATGGATATGATGGAGAAAAGGAGGGATAACAAAATTATGTCCTTTTAGAGCCTTTTGAATCAAAGGTGGAGTGCTGGGTTACAATGGTGTCAGCATGAACTCTTGATGAAAAACTTCTCAGATGTATTTGGCTGTCAGATTTTATTTTTTAAGTTGACAGTATGCCCAGAATCCTGTTCTTAGACTTTCATTTACTTCTTCCACTGCCCACCAAGATTGTGTTGTGGGAGCCACCTCTCTGAACTCTGTGAGGGAGGCAACACTTTCTTGTACAGTGAGGGAGTCATCTGACAACAACACGTAGCACTGCCTTTGTCAGTAGGGGCCGGTGGTCTAAGAATGAGGGACTGTGTTCCCACATGGCAGTTTAGGGAAAATGTTGTTAACCCTAAATTTTTTTTTTTGCCCCTGAGGAATTCATAAGGGGACATGGTATTTCTTGATCCCCCTGTGACTTTTCCTGCACTACAGATTTGAAGTAGCAATAATGAGAATAGAATTTGGTTTTGGTTTTTTTTTTTTTGGTTTTTTTTTGTAGGCAATCTCCTTTTCGCGAACATAGAACAGAAAGTTAGTGTCAGGATCAGTGTGTCATATCAGTGCTGGCAAATAAAGCTATCATTGTACTAAATCATTCCCATGCAATGATGTATCAGGTATTACAGTAGTTCCAGCCAAGGGCACAGGGAAAAACAGCATCACAGTCTTTTTGGTGATTTAACAGATAAGCATGTGTGGAAAGGGGCATTTTCTAAAAGTCACTTCCCCCTACACCAGGTAAAGTAGGAAAATATTTCTATAATAAATTATTAAACTTCTAATTGCACAAAAGTTGTGCTTAATACAGGCTTTAAAAAAGCAGCTATATTAATTTGTAATATCACAAATAATACCTGATGTCAGGGAGTCTTCTGAGGAATTCTAATCTTGGGTTTTCTTAGACTTTTTAGTGTTATTTATAGCTAATTCTTCTACCCACATTTTCCTTTCAGTGCTTACTTCTCTTCCAGACAATGTTAGACTACTTCTCTGAACATGGTCCATCTCGCATCATGGGGTGCATTGATTTCCAGCACATCAACTAATCCTTATTTTATGTTACAAAAGAGTTCCTCTCTCATAACACACCATTTCTTTACATTAGAGTCCCACTGAAACAAGATTTCTCTGTCCACCAAATGTCTCCTAAATCAGATTACTCCCATGCTTACAAATGTAATTACTTTCAAAGGTTTGCCTTGCAATGGTTTAGTTTATTAGCTTGTTGAAAAAGACTGCTGAGTAAATAGCATCATTATATGACACAATGCACAACAATATGAAAAATATCTAATATTATTAAATATTCTTAGCAAGTTTAAGCTTAAACTTTAACGTGCCTCTATAGCCCTTAATATTTTGGACAATACTCTGTATAGAAATAATTACTTTAAAGTGCAAATACCCCTCTCTCCTCACCTTCCTCCCATAAACGTTTTACTGGTGTGCTGTCAACCTCTCTTAGCAGGGATTAGTCTATTAAGAATATTGCTCAGTATAAAGTGAAACCAATATAGCTCCAGGAGTCATAATAATCATTATGGTGTAAAACTTTGCTGGTAACAGACTAAGGTCTATGCAGTGGCAGCATAGCAAGCTTTCTATTGTATCTTAGTAGCGTAGTTGCAGTTTCTGCAATTCTGTTCCTGTTCTTGCTTTACCCACTGTTTCATCTTGTCAGTATGCTGGCAAACTCTTTGAGGTTTCAGCTGGAGCCCTGCCTAGTAAGTTGAAAAGAGTTACATTTATTGTTTTTACTGCATACCTTCCTTAAATGTAATGGATCTGTGAAGCTATTCATTTCACTTCTGTATAGCTGGCTTTTATTTCCTATTACCGCAGTTATGTTACACACCGTTTCTAAGCCATTTCTTCTTTGCTTTCTTCCAGGCAGAAGAAAAGGCACATTCAGAGGTAAGAACTTTACTTAGTTTTATATATTGCATTATCTTATTTTAAAGTGTATTGTTTACCTGCTATGGCTAAACTGCTGAATTGCTGGGGAAAATACACCCTGTGTGTTTAGCACCACTTTTTAACAAGTATTGGTAAGAAGCTATGCACCTTCTAGTGCCCTAGAAGGTGTTTTCTTAGCATCATGCTGAAGAATGCCTCCTGGCTGAGGTTCTGAACAGGCAAAAAGAATCAATGAGACTCAGGCTTCTGAGAGGAGTAGTTATGATAGGTCTGATTTCAGACTTAATACCACTTTTTAGTGGATCTAAGGGACTGTGCTATTCAAGGTAATGTGCTGCCTTTCAGGAGAAAAATACTTCAAATTTTCGCTTTGAACTTCTCTTCCTTATGTTTTGCAATATATTAAATTTCTGAGACTGACCACTTTGATGGATTTCAGAACAATGCAGATTGATTTCGGATACAAATCAAATCTGACATGGAAAACAGCTTCTTTCTCCTCACAGTGTGTAAGACTGGGTGACAAGCTTGGGTCAGCAGCTGGATACAATTACAGCCTTTCTCAAAATGAAGTCCCAGTTGTATTAAAAGAGCACCAAGGAGTAACAGCAATAAAATACAACACCAAGGGGTGCACTTCCACTTCACAAAGCTACATGCCTTCCAACTCCTGCATTTATGCTGCTCCTTTTTTTACTATAATCAGAGAAAAAGTCACCAAAAAGAAATTATTACGAAGTTGAACAAATACACTGTGGCGAGTAAGGAAGAATATGCTTATTTCAATATAATTTCTACCTGAATTTTCTAAGCTCCTTTCTATGAGAGCTAAGGCAAAGGAGCTAAAGAAGCATGGCATAGCTCAGTAAATGACAAACCTTCATTTCATTGCCCTTTATATAGGGCTACATATAGAGGTGAAACAACACTTCTTTTACACATGTGAAACCACCTGTGTATTTCTACATGATGTTTTCTTGGTATCTAGGTCTGCTCTGTGATGCCTTTGCAGGAGATGTTGAACAGTACTTTATGAGAACTGCCTTTGTATAGTTGCAGGAATACAATGAAAGTGTAGCTTGAGCAGGAAAGTCGCATAATTGCTATTGAAAACCAAAGAGAAAAGTTGGAAAAAGAAAAGTGGCAGTCCAGGATAGAGAAAAGCTCAATAACCTATCTCCTTTGCTGTTAGCTAGTGTAAATGACCTAGCTATTTTTGTATCATAGATGTACAGGAACTTTTTCATTCTTAAAGTTTGTGCAATATTCCCTGCTGGTTTTCATAGGAGTCATACAATGAAAATACTGCAATAGTTTTTGCTACTGAATGTTACGTTCATCCCTTTCCTAGGTTAGGTTTAGGCATTTTGCTCCTGTAGTCTTGAATAATTTTTTTTATGTCTGAATATGAAAGAGTTATCAAGGTGAAACTCCATTCTGTACATATGTTCAGCACAATGACTGGAGTTCCTGTAAGATCTCAACTAAAGTTAGATGAGCATTAAATAATGTGCAAGCTTCATGCCACATATCTATTCTAGTTGAAACAAAACCAGATATTTTTCTAAAGGATTCTATCATTAAAGGAGCCTTGAATTAAGTTTATTTTCATATCCACAAGCATACTTAAAGCTACATTTATTTTTTTAAGTTGGCAAGCAAGTTTTTGAATAGTGTATAAGGTTTAGAGAGGCTGCCTGTTTGAATCTCAGGGATTGTAGGAAGTAATGTGTTAGAGAAAAAAAATATTGCTGTACCTCATCTAACTTTAGATATCCATGAAGCAAAAATCTGTTTCTGAGGTAGTCATCAAAGACTTCTTCATGCCAGGCGGTGCGGGAGTACCTTTTGGTGCTTTATCTGAGTATAATGTAGACATTAAACATATGTCGATTGCATTATGTCTGCAGTCAGGCACAGTGAACCTCATATAAATTTGTTCATGTTTCATGATCTCAGGCCTCATACAGGGCTACTGTCCTTGGTTACACTCAGGATATGTTTGGAATTTACAGGATTTGGTAAGTTACATGTGCGTACTAAGGATTGTACATAGGAAGTACTTAAGCATTTGCCCACAAACTGGGATCCTAGCTCATACACTGATTATGTGCAAGAAAAGAGTTGGAGCAGCACTAAAGGCCAACTTTTAATAATTTGGATTTCTGAATAGCTCTGAGATTAAAATATGAAACTAAGACATTATAAACCTACTAGTGATCCCTTAAAACAAACATACAAAAAAAACCAAAACAAAATTAAATTGCTGAAATACTGACAAAAGATGGGGTTTTTTTTAGCAAATTCAGAAACTACGGAGAGAGCTGGTGGCATCACAAGAGAAAGTTGCTACTCTTACATCTCAGCTTTCAGCAAATGTAAGTATTGTTGCTTGTGATCATAAAAGGCATGATCATAAACATTTTCAGATTAGCTAATAGCTCTTAACACATGGTCTGTGAGACTTTTATTATTTCTTAGTTTTGGTGTTATTTATTAGTTAAATTAGTTATTTCATTAAATGTCTATATTGCCTCAGCTTCAAGCAGAAGTCGTCTTGTGACCAAACACAGTGGAAATGGAAAAGAGTTTACACTCTTGGATGTGGCAGAAGTCCTATCCCTTTTTTTTTCCTCAGAATCAGCTTTTAAAAATAAGCCGAAAAATAAGAGGACACAGCCAAATAACGGGCATGAATTGCATTTTTTGATAAATTTATTATAGTTTCATTTCACAAAGATAAGCCGTGCAAAATGCAGATAGATGCAGAGGGAAGCACAGTATACAATTGTATGTAGAATTCATATGCTGCAGTAACTGTACTGATATGTGTAACTAATGGAAACTGGGCTATTTGACAGAGAGCTCCCTGGTGTTCCCTCCAATTGTCATACACTGGTAATATGAGTTATTGAACATGTTATCAGAAAATAATGCCAGATAGGGAATGTGAGCTACAATCCTGTCTGGTTACTATGGTTTCAGATGAAGTTATCAGGTAGTTACTGAACAATCTGTTGTAGAGTGATTTTCAAATATAACTGAGGATATAACTGTAGTTACCATTAACAAGGAAAGGTGAGACACAGTTGCAAGAAAGTATCATTTTGCATTTCAAGAAAGGAGTTTCCTAATGTCTTGGGCAACCCATGGAGTGCCTTTCTTCAAAAAGTAGATCTACTGAGTATTTAGATCTATAAATACTGCTGTTATTTTCCAGAAATTATTTCAGTCCGTGAAGTAGTAGTGTTCATGTTGTGAGAATATTCTATCTGTGTGAAAGTTGCTTGTTCTCTTAGGACTGCCATCTTTGAAGATGTGGAAGAGCTACTCTTAGCACTTTCTGCTCTGTTCAGGTGGCTGCAGAACACCTGTGGGTATTTGTACCTCTGTAGCAGTGTGGGTTGCCAGTCTGTGCCACTTCGGAGAATGAACTAGTGAAGGAGACAATATTGGAGTCCTGCAGTGTTTGTAAATTCAAATGCTGGATTCTAAGTTGGGTTATTCATTCAGGAATTTATAGCCAGCATGCCTATCCTCGATATGGGAGTCCATCTCTCATGTATTTTAGGCACTGATCTTCAACTTTGTCAGATTGGGCAATTCTTCACTCACCCATCCTGAGAGCAAAAAACTAAATCCAACACCAAGAGGTAAGAAGAGCTAAGCCAGCATGCCGCAGGTAGACATGTTTGCTGACAAGTCCTTTGCTCTCTGCAGGGCACTTTCCACCAAAAACACAGGGCTGCATCAGCTCTGCCTTGCAGTGGGGAGTACAGGGAGGTGGGCTGTGGCTGGGTTTGTGGCACAGCATAATCACAGACATCCCCACACCCTCTCCAAATGTCCTGGTAATGCCCACCCAGCAGCAGCTCGTCTTATCCAGAAGAGTTAGCTTGATTCCTGCAAGTACCTGATCTAGTGAAAGATGTCCCTGCCCACAGCCAGGGGGTGGACTAGATGATCTTTAAAGGTCCTTCCCAGCCCAAACTATTCTGTGATTCCAAGAAGTGCTGCCCCATCAGTAAGAGGTTTGCCTGTGCTGGGCCTGTGCTCAAGTGCCTGTACCAGACCTGGTAAGGGAGCCCTTCTGACAGGGATAATTTTGGCTCTTGGTACTGTGCCTCACTTTACCCTGTGGGCAGAAATTTGTTCTTCTCTCCTTCTGCTAGTGCTGAACAGAAAGCACCACCTTTTGGCTGATGTGTTGAAAGATGACTATCTTCAGTCTCCATCCATTCCCAGTCACCCCAACAATGCTGTAGCCTATAATACAGTAACAAGAGCAATAGAGTGAGGATGGCAGGGCATTCTCCCTGGTAGCTGAGGCAATGAGGCCACTGTTCAGTTTGTTTGGGCCACTTGCCTCCAATTTCTTCCCAGTGTTAGTAAGAAGGCATTGCCTATATCTCTGGTCGTTATTCCTTTGTGTGGAGTAAGCACAATACAGACTAGTATCTACTAACAATACCTATCCCAGACGTGTTGATCAGGTCACCTCCAAGTTACAATAAGATTTGGTCCATATTTCAAAGGAAGTGAGTCAAGCTGAAAATGGATAGTTACATTTTGCCTTGTTTTTAACTCATATGGTGTTTGTTGGGGATCTGGTCCCATGTACTATCTCTGGACTTCTGAACACCTAGTAAGAATGACCATAGCTTTTCTACTGCTCTAATTGGATGGGTAATGTTTTCAACATGACAGTACAAGAAAAAATATATACATGTGCATCTGTTGTTGCCTATCCAGAAGTACCACATTTGTAAACCTGTATGTGCTTGTATGCATAAATATATATGTGCATGCACACTGCATGTTGTATTAAGGTTAATTTAATCATGTTCTTTGTTACCCACCTTCTAACCCATCTCCATGAAGAGAGTCTTTAAACACTAAACCTATAAGCAACCCTAAAGCTGATATTTTTAGCACATGGGGTTTTTTAATGGTATCAGAGAAATCTTTCCTTCTTCCAAATCTGCAACATGTGGAAATTCTATCAAAATAAAACTTGTCAGGAGCATGAAACTTAGAGGCTTAAAATTCTCAAGGGATTTAGACACCTTCACGATCAAAACAATCTTAGCAGAAAAGTAGCTTTTACTAGATATTACAAGTAAATATTTTTTTGCAATGGTGTCATGAGACATAAACTTTACAAAACCGAAAAATTGAAAAGTATTTCACAATAAGCCTGATTCTGAGTCCTTTCTCTGATATTTCTAATATAGAAGTCTTAAAGCATTAAAACAAACAAACAAAAAAAAAAAGACCACTTCCACATAAGTCCAAAGGGTCAAAAGAGACCCCTGAAAGATATGTGAGTACTAATTCTGTCAGTCCTTTGAGCCCTTTATGTAAATAAATTCTACAAAGTATCACTTCAATGTCAGGAGAAAGATCCAGCTTGAAAACAGTGTATATACAATATTTTAATTGTGATATGGCCTCTGAAATTCAGTCTACAGAACTGATGTTTAAATGCCAGTGATTATATACTTTTCATAAAAAATATGAGAATAACTAACAAATACTTGACTTGATTTGCCAGACTTATGAAGAACCCAGATGGGCTTCTAATTCTGATTAACTTGTACTGTCTTAGCAATGTTTTACATGCATGTATTCATTTACCATTTATCTCCTAATCTAAGAGACATAATTCACCAGCCCCTGACATTTAAAGGAGAAATAGTCCCAGTCATAAGGGCTGGAATTTATTCTTAGAGAAGAAATCAAAACTATGCTTTACTCTCTAAATGAATAATACTGCTGTGGCCCTCATTCTGAATCATGTTTGCATCCGAACAAACAATAAGTCTGCTGCAGAAAAAGTTTGGTCACTCTGTGTATCTTTTCTGTAGACACATCTGTCTGGGCAGGCAGGGAACTGTACAACCTGGGTATCTTCTGCAGTGCCTTTCCTGATTAGAAAATTACTCAGTCATTTCTGATGCCTTTCCTATGAATTCAGTCATCTTAGCCTTAGTCCTAAGATTTCCCAAATTTCTATACTTTCAGTCTCTGAAAAGGAGCAGCAATTTTTTCCTCACTGTAGTCCAGAGAAGGATACTATTAATAGCCAGAAATTTTGTTCATCACAGTTCATCTCGAGCTTGGATTTTTTTGCAACCATTTCTCATTGTAGAGCTGAGTATTGTTTGCGAGTGAAAAAAAGAGCATTTTATTAATCTCATTTCAACACTATTTGTGTCCTTTTTTGCTTCACCGCAAAAGACTGTTGATGACAGTAGTACATGTGTCATTAAAGACTGTCAGGCTGAAATTTGACCTATTTCATCAAGCTGTTGTTTGATGTATTATTTTATATCAAAATCTGCCACTTGGAACTTACAGAGTTTCTCAGGGATTTTTGAAACCTCTGCAAAGATTTATTTGGTTTCATTTATTACTCAGATTTTGCTGGCTGGACTTAAGTGCTATGCTTGATTTGAGCAGTTTATTTCATTTGATTAACCCCAAAGTGTTTTGCCTGCATATGATTAAACTCAAGCAGGGCCCAGCTGTTGTTTGGATGCTTAATTTACAGTCTTTTTCTGAGATTCTGGCTTTTCCCCTGGTGCCTGTTTCGACGTTGCTGAAGAGCAAATCTCAGTACTAATTAAGAAAGGGCCTGTTTTCAGTGCAGAAAGTGTCCAGCCAGCAGACTTCCTACATGACTGACAAGGGCTCAAATTCCAGCAAGCAGCCTGAACACAGCCTGCTCGGAGGGACTTTGATCAGTGCTTTGTACTGTACAAAGCTGAAGGGTGCATGCTTGCAAACTGTAGTACACCCAGGATGCCAGTAGAAAGCGGAGGGGGTTCGTTGGCTAATACTTTTGTTTGGCCAGCTCTGAACCACTACCCTACAGCCAAACAACAAGATAATAGCAGGCGGCGAACAGAAAAGGTCGGCAGATGTACAGTTGCTTCTTGCAATCAGCTCGATCCCTTCTGGCCTCTCACACCTCCTTTCATTCAGCCGTGTCAGGTGGGAGGAAATTTATTTATTTACATTTGTTTTGTAAACATGAACACCGCAGGTCCAATCGCAAAGTTTCTCAGCAGATACACTTTGAATATGCCAATGTCATGTTCAGGATGGGCTGGAAACCTAAGAGTTGAGGTATTTGGGATTTGGCTGGCTACGATCGTTTACTAAGAAGGAAATGTTTAAAATCAAACTTGACAATGCTGAATTTGTTCCCTGAGCACATATCTCTTTGAGTATTTCCAGTGGGAATTTCAGATGTTAATAAAAGTCAAAATTCATTCATATGTGATGGATCTACAGATTAAGAGGTGTACGTCATCTATGTGTATCATGTTAAAGATGAATATATTTTGCTCTGGGCATGTTTCCAGTAATGCCCAGTTACTCAGCTCTGAGTCCAGTATATCTGTCTCCAAGTAAAATCCTGCATGCACTTGTGAAGATATATTTTTACTTTATAATAGGTGTTATTTAAAGCAGATGCAGCATTCAGGCTATTTTGTGTGGTACTCTATTGATGTATGCCATGAATGAAACTACCAGATCTAACACAGATATTTCTAAGGTGTGAGGGATTGGCTGTAACCTCAAAAAAAGCTTCTAAATATTTTTGAGAATGAAATAATGGATCCTTTTGGATAAAGTAAATAATCCTCAGAAACTGTGGATTACCAATTCAATCAAAATCAATGACTTAATTTAAAAGCATAAAAGTAGTATGTAATTAGAATTTTTAATTTCTAATTATCATTTTTAAAGTCAAGTGTTCCTCTATTTATTTCAAAAGTTTTCTGGTTTGTCTATAACTATTTAAATGTAAAATTTGAACTTAAATAGGAATATATGCATACGTATGTTTTATACATACTTCCACACACATGTAAATATACTGATAATCTAGTATTTTTCAAACTAACTTTTATTGGTTTGTTACATAGTATTTCTTTCGGGACAAATCTGTATAAGGGTTCAACAAATAGGAATTCCCTAGACTGCTGAATAAATAAATGCTTGCTACCATGGGGAACGACAGTACAGGTTATTACTCTGAATGGAAAATTAATATTTTATATTTCAGAGAGGAGTTTTCTGTTGTAATAAACATTTAAAGAAATGAACAATGCAATTTAAGGTTTTTTTATTGATTTGTTTCTAGTGGTGGGCCTTTAATCCTAATAAAGAATTAGGTTTCTTTATTGTTAGCAAATGAAGACCTGATAGTCTTTATCTTAAACTCATTCACATATAGTATAAGCTGAAGTTGTAGCTATGGAGTCAGAAAATACTTTGCACAAATATGCATAGTTAGGTACCAAAGAACTGTGGTTATCAGAGTCTAATTGTGAGAAATGGATAAAAGCAATGCATAATTAAGCAATTGATTCCTCTTTTAAGCCCTCAGTCCCCATTGTTATTTTCATGGCAAAGCAGAACCAAGGGCCATCAGCCAAGCCATAGATTTTTTTATGAGGCACAGAACAGAGACCTCCATTAGTTTCCTGTTAAACACATGTAATGAAGAGACATTTGGCTATAATTCTGTGGTAAGGCATCTACTCTGTCTCTGATTGTGTTCTGGGTCAGTGGTCATCATCTTTGGAACTGAAACACCATAAATTAGTCTGGATGTTTTTAATATGTAGCTAATTTTTAAAGTGAACAGTGAGTTAAAAAACTAGCTGCTGTTACCTTCTCAGAGGAATATTGAAAACAACCAAAGGCTGTAGTTTCAAAACTGGCTAGAATAACTTTATATTGACTGACAGGTTTCAGACCTGCATTTGACACATATTCCAAGTTCATTTTCAAATTATAACTTCAAGAATAAAGCATAAGTTATAAATGTTAAAATAGGGATATATACAATTAGTAATTGATCTTAAGAATTTGCATATATATCTAGTCCCACATTTGTCAAAAGTCAGTCTGGGGTGTGTATCCTTTACCAAGATAATTATCCCTTAGGCATCCCAGCAGATGCAGAAAGCAGGCAGTTGACCTCTGTCCCCATAAGTAATTAAGTAAACTATTTGCTAATGATATCGTTTACAAGGAGAAAACTTGTAATAAGTTTAATAAGTATAAAACAAGGAGTTTACAAGGTACTGAAAAGTTTATAGCATCCCAAAATGATTTATAAAACATGAAGGCCACATATCAGTATAACGGCTCTGTAGAGGAGACACAGAAGTGGGCCATTATTATATGTATGATAATCTTTTTTAATTTGAGGAATAATATAGAGAGCAAGGTGGCAAGAAGCTCTTTTCCTTCTCCTAAAAAGCATAACAGAATCCTTTCTGGACTATGTATTTTTCTGATTATACATCAGATTCAGTACAAGCACATACCTTTGAAGAATTTCAAATATGCTTGTACAAGCATGTAAATCTATAACTGAAGAATTTGCCAGGCACTGTGTGTGCCTGTACTGCTATAATAAAAAATAAATTTTCTCAGTGGGGAAGCTCAGTTAATCCATTTATACATATAAATATGTTGGGTGTGAGTTATATTTGCAAGTGTATTATAGTGCCTATGCTTGTAAACTTTGTCTGTTAACACTTCTGAGGAGGTAAAGAGAAAATAAGTATTTTCTTTTGCTTTTTCTATTTGGATTTGTGAGAGGAGTGGATGGAGTTTTATGGAATTTCATAAAATTTAAATTCTTACTTTCCCTTGGCTGTACAAGCTGTCTTAGCTTCCTGCTTTCTTTAGGACTACTTATACTTCTTTGCCTAGAAATCTCCATGTCAGTTACAACCAGTGAAGACTCAATGCATTGTTTGTCGAAATTTTGCTTGCATGGAGTACAGGGTGAATGTTGTTAGGAAATAAAATGAGGCTTTAACTTTTTAAAATCTTTTAATTGTTTTCAACTTTATTGCTGTTTTTATTGAGAATTAGGACTTCCAATTTTCAAGATTATCTTTTATATATACATTTCCACCCATGTATAAATATTATATTTATATTTTTATATTAAGTATTTCTTATTTTCATACACACAACACATATATATAATGTAAGACAAATAGACTAAGTAATGACCTTTTTAAAAACTGTTATATTTTTTGTTTGATTCTCAGGATTCTTCTGGAGTGTTTTATTTGTGAGATTAAAATTTACCTTTTAAGATAAAGTATTGAAATTCCAGTGTTGAAGTGTTCAGTAATTGAAAATAATTGTTCCTGGACTTCTATTTGGGACCAGGCTTCTTTTGGCTAATATACCAGTAAACTCAAAGCAGGGTATTAAATCCATATTCCATTTCCAGGCAGAGATACCTGAGCTAATATCCTCAGGGGCTAAAGCCTGAGGAACACTGAGCTCACTTGGCTGCTTCACCCATCCAAGAGAGTTCAGCCTGAGTTTACTAACAGAAAAGAGCTGGAGAAGACGGGCTTGGAATGGGGGGGGGGGGGGGGGGGGGGGAAATAATAAAAAAAACAAAAAAGGAGGAGTGTATATATATAAAAAACCAACAAACAAATAAACAAAAAAACCCCAGTCAACTACCCAGACCTGGGAGAAAGCCCAGGGTGGGAGTGCTGGGTTTCAAAGAGTCCAGATACCATTTGTCCAGCCAAAATCCAAATATATGAAATATTCTATATATTCTTGTAAGTTGTGAAATGCATTTAGAACCCATGTCATGACAAATGTTGTCTTCTGTTTCTTTCACAGGCTCATCTAGTAGCTGCTTTTGAAAAAAGCTTGGGAAATATGACCGGCCGATTGCAAAGTCTAACAATGACAGCTGAACAAAAGGTGTGTTTACCAAAGCAGATGCTTCATTGTAGAAAACAGTCAGCAGATTATATTAATGTTGTTTTAAAAACACTGAAAGAAGCAGGGACAGCTGTGACAATAAGACAGACAGATCTTTCTCTAATGGCCGTTGTGATCAAATCTTCATAGAGGTTGAAGAGAATTAAACCATGCAGCATCAAGTTTCCGCAGACAATATCATGGAATAGTTTGCAGATAAGATCTTTCATTTCCAGATTTTAATTAAAACATATACGACTCTAGGTTTAATCTGTACTGAAAGATCCTGTAACAAAGACTGATCATAACCTGCTGGAGTGCTTCATTCCAGCCTGCTAGTGTTGTCAGAATTATAGAATTAAGGAAAGGGAAGAACTTTTAGATGAGAAAAATGGCTCCATTTAGAGCATTAATGCAGGTTGGGTATCCTATTCACGAGAAAATAATGTTGATTTTTCCTGTGCTGTGTTGACTGTTGGGGGAAAAATTCTAAACCCGATAGGTAGTAAATTTAATGTGAGCCTTTGTACCAAGCTCAGGATTAAGAGGCTGCTTAGCACCTTCCAGGGTTGAACTTCTGCAACTTTCTGCCCTTATTCATTTTGAACAGTATCCTATAAACTGAAGGGCCTCGTTGAGCCAAATTGTGAAAGAAACTGTATATCAGTGAGCTATTAGTCACCACTAGAATCAGTGTAGCTATCTATAAAAATAACATTTCACAGTCTGGTTGAGCACCAACAGATGAAGTATGGTGAGACTCATTGTAAACTGGATAAAAAAATATTTGTATTTCTTGGTTTCTTTCATTTTAAGTGGAAAAAAATCCACAAAAAAACCCAAAACCAACAAAACAAACAAACAAACAAAAACACACACACACACAAAAAAAAAAAACACACAATGGGATTTTCTTAAAACCAAAACTTTTAACTATTTTACGAAGTATAATTTCCATGAGAAGGTTTTCTTTCTGGAAGAGGTTAAGTAGTGACATTGAAACAGATCATCACCAAGCTTCATTCCCAAAAGATTTCAAACATGTTCTTTTCCTTCTATTTTTTTCTCTATTGCTGAGGTTCAATTCCTTTAATCCTCCTCATATAAATGCAGGCTGGAAGGACATATTTAATGTAGCAGTAATAAAAGCTGTTTTTTAGTTGAAATTGGCTATGCATTCTAATACAGAACTTCCCACACTCAAGTGGAATAATTTTACTTCAACTTTCAGGATAGTTGCTACTAAATGGGCTTTTTAAATTTTTTTTTTTAATTGAGTTATTATTTAACAAGTTAAATCCTTTGAAAAATACACAAATTCAGGTTGAGATTCATCCATTAACAGTAGCCTCACATACTAAATGATGTAATTTAAATAGTTCTATTGACTTTTGCAATAAAATTGTTGGGTTTCTCTTAACTATATAATTAGGTCTCAGTTGAGACTCTTTTTTAAATTAGTCTTTACTAAAAATGTTTTTTTGTCCTTAAAAATAGCATGACCACTTTATATAGAATAAAGGCAAATGAATATATTAGTTGAATTTAATACTATTGGAGAGAAAATACGCATTCTACTTATTTTTTGCCCTTATGTTCTCACAAACATTCCCATGAACTTTGCTTTGACCACACTTTATCTTGTCATTTTTTTAAGCTTATACAAACATTGTTCCTGTGCCATATATTTTTGTGCCATATATTTTGAGCTGTCTTTGCTCTTCCCACAGGAATCTGAGCTTATAGAGCTAAGGGAAACCATTGAAATGCTGAAAGCCCAGAATTCTGCTGCACAAGCTGCTATTCAAGGAGCTTTGAATGGTCCAGATCATACCCACAAAGGTATGTTTTTGTCCCTGTTAAAATAAATGCAGAATTTCTCCCCAGAGGGGGGGGGGGGGGGGGGGGGAAAGCTAAGTCACAACTTTTCTGTTGTTCTGGGGACTCTGTGGCAAAGGCAAGCACATTCTGCAGTACATGGTAGGCATACTTGTGGTATTTCCAGAGCTAGAAACCTTGCACGAGCTTCCTGTTTGCCAGAGTTCCTGGACTGTTCTCAGAATTGGGTGGCCAGGAATTGATTGCTGTATGTCAAGAGTTAAACATGTTGTTGCTGTTGTGTATTGAAGTACACTCAAGACATAAGTGAAGTCTTACGGCAAAAAATGGGTATAGCTTGGAAATACAGTATAAGTTGTAGCTCTGAAAATTGGTGCACTCATTGTTAAGAGATGGACTGACAACAGCTCACGTCTTTCATGTGGCGCTAAACCAATGAAGGAGAGCAGACATTTTAAATTCCAGATTCTGAATTAATTTGTCATTGAAGTTAGGCAGATGTCACATGATAAATACATACTTCAGAAGTACCTGTTGATAAGCAACAGAAAACGGATTACTTGAAGAAAAAAAATAATAGCAACATTCATTTTTGAGAGTGTCATTGATCTTTCTTTAAAGGGGACATTATTTAGATGTTTGCCTTAAGGTCATTTCATTGCACCACTCGAGCATAGCAAAGCTCACTTCTAGGAAGCAAAAAATAACCCAAAAAGTAATTTCCCTTGGTATTAGTGAGTATGTTCTGCAAGAATATTTTCCAGTGATTAAGATATAGTTATCAGAGACTTTTAAGAAGTTGAAAATCAAAATCCTCACCAACCATTTCCAATATTCTTCACTTCTTCGTTATTTTGTTTCATTCATTTTTAATGAACTCCTGCCTGCATATTGCCATCATGGTTTATTAGAAGGTAGCATCTGAACACTGATTAGGCCTACTACAAGTCAAACACTGCATATACTCCTCAGAAAAGGAACTGTAGTACATGTGATAGTAATAAATCAAGAAACTAACAGAAACTGCTTAACTATAAGGTTACGCCTGCATAGATTGCTGTGCAGGGTCATGGCCTTCATGCCAATAAGATCCCAGTTGGGAGAAGCTCCTAAGTGTCAGCCTAATTGTATGCGTCCCCATTGACTCCCATGTGGTTTCTCACAGGCTGCAATAGCTTGAAACCAAGCCACTGCAATCATCAATGCCATTTACACTCATTTAGGCTCCCTTTGAGGAGGAAGATGCTACATAAACACAAGGATGATTATTATATTGAAACAGAGACAGATGGATTTCACAGTATTTTTTTTTCTTTAGATTTGCGTATAAGGCGGCAGCATTCTTCAGAAAGTGTTTCCAGCATCAACAGTGCTACAAGCCATTCAAGCATTGGCAGTGGTAATGACGCTGACTCCAAGAAAAAGAAAAAGAAAAACTGGGTAAGTGCTCAGCAGGTTTAAACCTTTCAGCTATTGTGTCATTTCCTAGTGTCTGAGTAGTATAATGGTCCATTTAATCCACAATATTTTTGTCAGACCAGACAGATAGGAAGCAATTCATGTGTATCCATACTGTGACACTATCAGCAAAATAAAAATTGTTGAATATCAGCAGGGAATTATTTACATAGCTCAGGATAATTTAAAAAACAAAACAAAACAAAACAAAAAATCCAATACCTTAAAATAGCCATTGTGACCAAAACCATCTCTGGACCACATTGAAACTCATTGTTTCACTTTTCTTCAGTCAGAATTTGGTTCAAAGGCATGACTCAAATATGTTACCCAGCTATGAAGGGAGTTGAAATCTGTTAAGGATTCTCATGTAAAAGTCGTACAGTGTTTAAAGAAATTAAGATGCTTCTCAGCTGGAACACACAAATACCACATACTGCTAAGGGTTTAATCAAATAGTTTCAGTTAATAACTGGAAATATGTTTTTGTTGTTTTAAAAATATTACCTGCATAAACATTTGTTTTAAAATACTGATCAGCCTTCATTCCCTTGA